CATGTCATATATCCTAATGTATATACATGGCATAGATACATTATCAAACATAACTAAAAGTATACAAACAGCAGAAAATAAATTAGATGACTGGAACCTCATAAAAATCAGACTTTATGTGCATCAAAAAAGTTCACCAAAATAATATAAAGACATCTGACAAGGACAAGGGACTAACCTGTAAAGTTTATTAAAAACTTCAACACCTCAACAACAAAAAGACAAATAATCCAATTTTTAAAAGGGCAGAAGACAAGAAAAAAACTCAGTTGTCCAACAAACATATGAAGAAATGCTTATACTTATTAGCCACTGTAGTGTGCCGACGAGTCAGTTCTGACTCGTAGTGACCCTGTATAAAGCTTCCAAGACTGTAAGTCTTTACGGGAGCAGAAAACCTCATCTTTCTCCTGTGGAGCTCCTGGTAGATTCAAACTACTGATCTTTAGGTAAGCAGCTTAAAGCATAATCCACTAAACCACCAGATGCAAATCAGTATGACAATGAGGTATCATCTCACCCCAGCATTAATAGCAGAGTTCAGAAAATCAGAAGACAGCAAATGCTGACTAGGGTACTGAGAGACTGGAAACCTCATATATTGTAAGTAGAATTGTAAAATGTTGCAACTACTATGGAAAACAGTATGGTGTTTCCTCAGTAGTTGGAAATAGAAATACCATATGACCCAGCTATCTCACTACTTGGTATATATCCTACAGAAATAAGAGCTGCAACACAAATAGATATATGCATTTCCTTGTTCATCACAGCACTATTCACAATAAGAATTAGTTGGAAACAAATGTCCGTCAGTGGAAGAATGGCTAAACTACATTCACACAATGGAATATACTGCCCAATTTTTAAGAACAATGATCAATCTGTGAAACATCTCATAACATGGGTGAACCTGGAGGGCATTACACTGAGAGAAATAAGAATTACAAAAGTACAAATATTGTATTAGGCTACTTATTATAAAAAGTCACAAAAAGGTATTCATACTAATGGAAGCATACTTTGGTGGTTACCAGGGTAGAATGGGAAGGAAAGGGAAGTTACTAACTAGAGGTTAGATGAATATTAGCTTGGGTGAAAGGGAAGGCAATATACAATAAGGAAGTCAAGAAAAAATGATGGAGGCAGAGAAAGACACGAGGAGGTGTGCAAGAGTTAAAGGGAACAGAAGTAAACACTGTTACACAATCCTGCAGTAACAGTGATCTATGAGTAGATGCATGAATAAACATGAAGGCTGAATGGATGTGAGGATATATAAAGGTCTAACAGAGAATATTTCTGTATGTATATTTACCTATATTGTAAATATATCCATGAATATGGTAGAGCATACAAGAGGCAAAGCTATAAAAAAGTTACTGTACATAAACACCTTGAGTAGGAATGAGTCACTGGGGGTTCATAACATGATCTCAGGGGACACCAAGGTCAATGGGCATAGCACAGTCTACAAAGAGAATGTCCTATATCCTATTAAATAGAAACTAGTCATCAAAGCTTGTACGCAGCCATCTGTGGTGTAACTATTGGTCTTTCTGTGTCTGGAGGAAAGAAGAATGAAGAAAAAAGCACATGGAAACAATAAGTTTAGTGGACTAATGGACCACATGAACATTCATTTCCACAAACCTGAGACCAGAAGAACAAGATGGTGCCCAGTTACCACTCACTACCAACTTCTCTAAAAAGGATCACATTAGAAGGTTCTGGATAGAGTGGAAAAAAACATGTGGAACAGAACTCAGAATCGTAAAAAATACTAAGCTTATTGGTTGGTTAGAAACTGGTAGAACCTGGAGATTATGGCATTTAGTCACTCATCAGCTCTGGAACTGAACTCACTGCCATGACTCACTTTTCAGCCAAACAATAGATATGTCTATAAAGGGAACAATAACACTAATATTGTTATTGACTACACAAAGTCTTTTGATTGTGTGGATCATGGCAAGCTATGGACAACTTTGAAAAGTATGAGTATTCCAGAATACTTAATTATGCTCATGAGGAACCTGTACGTAGAACAAGAGGCAGTTGTTCCACCAGAACAAGGGAACACTGAATGGTTTAAAATTAAGAAAGGTATGCGACAGGGTTGTATTCTTCCACCATACTTGTTCAGTCTGTATGCTGAGCAAATAATCCGAGAAGTTGGATTATATGAAGAAAAATGTGGCATCAGGATTGGAGAAAGACTCATTAACAACCTGCGATATACAGATGATACAACCTTGCTTGCTGATAATGAAGAGGACTTAAAATACTGATGAAGATCACAGACCACAGTCTTCAGTATGAGTTGCATCCCAATATAAAGAAAACAAAATTTCTCACCATAGGACCAGTAAATGGAGAAAAGATTGAAGTTGTCAAAGACTTCGTTTTGCTTGAATCAGCTATCAACATTCATGGAAGTAGCAGTCAAGAAATCGAATGACATATTGAATCAGGCCAATCTGCTGCACAAGACATCTTTAAAATGTTAAAGAGCAAAGATGTCAATTTGAGGGCTAAGGTGTGCCTGACCCAAGCCATGGTATTTCCAGTAATCTCATATGCATGCGAAAGCTGGACAATGAATAAGGAAGACCATGGAAGAATTAATGCATTTGAATTATGGTGTTGGAAGGGAATATTAAAAGTACCATGGATTGCCAAAAGAACAAACAGATCGGAACAAACAGAAGAAGTCTGGCCAGAGTGCTCCTTGGAAGCCAAGATGGTCAGACTTTGTGTCTCATACTTCAGATATATTTTCAGGAGGGACCAGTCACTGGAGGATATCATGTTTGGTAAAGTGGAGAGTTGGAGAAAAAGAGGAAGACCTCCAATGAGATGGATTGGCACAGTGGTAGCAGTGATGGGCTCAGGCATATTGTAAGGTTGGCCCAGTGCCAGGCATTATTTTGTTCTGGTGTGTATAGGGTTGCTATGAGTCGGTACAGACTTGATGGCACCTGACAACAACAACACTAAGAACAATAACAAAATACATACCTTAGAATAATCAACCATTTGAGATCAAAAGGGCAGCATTTACCCTAAGACAAAGTTCAGAAGGTTTAGGAAAGAGTAGAAACAGGATACACAGGAAGAAAGTGGGATATGTGATGTTGCATTGTAGGGATTGCAATCAAATGACATGAAACAATATATATGAATTGTTGAATAGAAAACTGATTTGCTCTGTAAACCTTCACCTAATTCACAATAAAATGTTTTAAAAATCGTTAATGAAATACACTATTTATCAAGTTGTTGATCATTAATATTGTTTTATTTAAAATCTGAACAGTTTAGAATTAGCATATTCTTCTTGCTTCACCACTGTAGGATAAAGCACTGGACTGCAAGGTCGAGTTGAACCTCAAGGTCAGTGGTTCAAACCCATCAGCTGCTCCTTGTAAACCCTATACAGGTTAACTATGAGTTAGAACCAACTCGACAGCACTTAACAACAATTTCTTCACTTAAGTTGTGCCATTTTTATTTATGCTGTCTATTGAAAGGTTTCAGTGTTTAATATTTTTTTTATCTAGAGAGAATTATTTATTTTATTTATTCATCAAATCTGTAAGCTTCCTACTATGTGAAACGTACTGTTTTAGCTGTTAGAGATAAGTGTTCAAATGTCAAGGAGTTTATACGGTGTACAGATCTATTGATCATCAAAATCTGTGGTGGATGACCAGTGTATCAATTGTTAAGTGCCATTAAGTCAATTCCGATTCATAGTGACCCTGTTTAGGGTTTCCGAGGAGCAGCTGGTAGAACTGCTGGCCTTATGGTTTGCAGTCCAGTGCTGATCCTACAGCACCACACCAGGAGTCAATTAATAACCATAAATGTATTAATTAATGTACCAGCTACAAAGATGATAAAATTAGAATAAGCATAATAGGATAGTTGTTAAGTGCCGTTGAGTTGGTTCCGGGTCATAGTTACCTTGTACAGGGTTTCCAAGGAGCAACTGGTAGTTTTAAACTGCCAAATTGTGGTTTGAAGTCCAGTGCTGTTCCTACAGTGCCTCCAGGATTGTTGTTGTTGTTAGGTGCCATCAAGTCGGTACCAACCCATAGCGACCTTATGCACAGCAGAACGAAACACTGCCCAATTCTGGGCCAACCTCACTACTGTTGTCACGCTTGAGTCCATCGATGCTGCCACTTGGCTAGTCCATCTCGTTTGGGGTCTTCCTCTTTTCTCTGACCCTCCACCTTACCAAACATGATATCCTTCTCCAGAGACTGGTCCCTCCTGACAATATGACCAAAATATGACGGACGAAGTTTGGCCATCTTGGCTTCTAAGGAGCACTCTGGCTGCACTTCTTCCAAAACAGAAAAATTGGTTCTTTTGGCAGCCCATGGGACTTTCAATATTCTTCTCCAATACCATAACTCAAAAGCATCAACTCTTCTACAGTCTTCCTTATTTCACTGTCCAGCTTTCACATGCATATGTGGTTATTGAAAATACCATGGCTTGGGTTAGGTGCACCTTAGTCCTCAAGCTGACATCTTTGCTCTTCTACACTTTAAAAAGGTCTTGTGCAGCAGATTTGCCTAATGCAATATGTTGTTAGATTTCTTGACTGCTGCTTCCATGAGTGTTGATAGTTGATCCAAGAAGAATGAAGTTCTTGACAACTTTTCTCCATTGATAAGAATGTTGTATATTAGTCCATTGGTGAGGATTTTTGTTAGCTTTACATTGAGATGTAATGCATACCTAAGGCTGTGCTCTTTGATCTTCATCAGTAAATGTTTTAAATCCTCTTCACTTGCAGCAAGCAAGGTTGTATCACCTGCATATTGCAGGTTGTTAATGAGTCTTCCTCCAATCCTAATGCCACGTTTTTCTTCATAGAACCCAGCTTCTTGGATTAGTACAGTGTAAATAGATTCATGGTTCTTTGTTTTCAGGTATCATACTATCAACATGAGTAATATGGACATTTCTTTTTTTAATTTTAGCTTTAAAGAAGCCCCCCATTTCAATTTCTCAACATGAAAATCATCAAGCAATCTCCCACCTTCCAACTGGACAACCTCTCTCCCCAAATATGGCTCCAGGTATGAAGTCTTATTCTCAAGAGTTTTACTTAAAAACTTATTTATTATTACATAATAAAACACATCATTTAGCAGCATAGTAAAGTAGTATTCATTCTAATTTGTGTTAGATATTTTTAAATCACTGGTAACTCAGGGAAGAATAATCATTTAAAAGTGCACTTTGTCTAATGAATTATTATATTCTTTTTTTTTTTAAAGTGGAATTATTTGCTCTGTCATTCTGAAATACAATCCTTTTCATTTCAGACCTCTCTCTGTATTCACCTTCTTTTAATGTGTTCAAATTTATCTCACAAAGGTCTTCTATAAATTACTCCACTCATCTATATTAAACTCACTACCAAATACATATGGTATTTTTTCTTTCCAACTTTTATCACAGAGTACTCGTCTAAATTTATCTGTTTTCTACTGAATACCTTTTCAGTTTTGGTGAAATGTTCCCCTAAACTGGAAATTGATAGGATTGAAGGGAGCTACTTAAGGGAAATGACAAAAGGGACATGTAGGAGTCAGGATAGGTTTCTGAATCCAGAGTTTAATTGTAATAAAGACTTGAATCAAGTCTTTGATGAGGAAACGACAGAGAGTGGAATAAATGAGGTTATATCCAGGTGAATTGAAGAGCAGAGATGTCAGCTTGAGGACTAGGGTGCGCCTGACCCAGGCCATTGTGTTTTCAATAGCCTCATATGGATGCGA